TAAAGCACAGTGAGAATAGTTTGTCTCTTAATGAAGCTGTGGTTGGACACAGAAAGACACGACTCACTGTCCTCCATCTCAATATGGGTTGCGGCCCAAAAGAAAAGTGCAGCAGCTATATTATGTAAACACACGAGGCAGAAGTGTGCTGTCATCTGTACCAACACAGGGGAGACAGACACTCAGGCTTTTCCTGTTACTTGTTGAAGTAACACATGTAACTACTAACCACTGACTACAGCCTACAGAAACATCATCGTCATTACTCTATCACTAACAACAAACATTCAAAAGTAAAGTCTTGGAGACCAGTTACAGAAGAGTGCTGTTAAATAAATGGGGAAATGTGCAACCCACGCAGGCTGCCACAGGAGGCACTGTTAAGTATGTGGTTCCCCTGGTGCTTGAACCCAGGACCTTATGCATGTAAAGCAGATGTGACAACCGCTACATTATAGACCCAAACTGGCAAATTTTCCACATGTGCTCAAGGCTTCTTTTTTTTTTAACTCTATTTAATGTTAGTAACATTAAATGGAGACATGAAGAACCATATTAATTTTCATAAAAGTAGCATCATGTCCACTTTAAGAGTATGGTTGGGATTCTAGGTTAGTTAGAAGATGCCTTTTTTTCTTCTGACACAGATATTTTCTCCCTCAGAATTGTAAAACCTGGTATTTCCTGTTTTTGTTTTTTCCTGTTCCAGTGAATGCAGAAGAGCCCCCAGTGAATAACCAAGCAGTCGATGCCAGATGTATTAATGTTGCATTATTTCAGAAAACACTTCTTTATCTGTACCATGAGACGGAGTAAGCATTGGGATACTGTATAGCCGCAGACTGTCAATACACGTGACTTTGTTAATATGTTAATATGTAAACACAATCTTCTAAAACTGGTACAATCAGCTTCATTTTATATTCATCCCTAAAGGTGACACGTATCCTTGTTCCTAATTTAGTCACACAGAAGACACGAGGATGAGTCGGAGTAGTCATCCTTCATGAACTACACCCAGAACAGTTTAGGTGTAAGAGTTACAGTGAAGGATGTGGACTGTACTGTTAGTTCAAACAGTTTGACAGAAGTCTTGACAAAGTACCAAGGACGGTGCAGCACAGTGACTGACCTTCTACAGGCCTGAGTTAGAGGGAGAACATGGGGCTGTGCTGGGGTTATGTAAGAGTTTACATTCCACAGTATACTACAGTGAGTCAAAACAATAGATGATACAATGGTTACAAATAAAACCGTTACAAATATTTCATCTGTTTTATTATTCAAAAACGTATATTAAAGTACATGCAAGATTACTGTTTGTAGTATCTCATGAAAAGTAATTAAGCCTGGAATATTTAATGTGAATACATCTTTATTGGCCTGGATGACAATGAAAACAACCTTTGACTCTAGTGTGGGTCACTGAGTTTTATCAGTTTTATATGAAGTCATGTCACAGCATTCTATGTATGTGTGTGTGTGTGTGAGAGAAACTGAGAGGAGGGGGAGGAGTGCAGGCAGGAGGCGGATATCTATCCGCTCTCTCTGCAACTAATTGTCTCCAGATCTAGCTTAGCTTAGCTTAGCCTAGCCTAGCTCTGACGCTTGTCTTTAGCGTGGGCTTCAGCTGCTGCAGGAGAAAGCCACTCCAGTCACCGGAGACAGAATCAGCCGAGACCGCAGCGAGGGTAAGTGTGAGTGTCACCCTGCACCGGTGCTGCATTCTTAGACTTGTTATCTACTGTGGTTGTGAACTTTAGAGACTGAGTACAGATAACGAGTAACGGTGGCTGTATTTCCCCTCTGTTAGGAAACTTAAACCACCTTAAAAATGTCTTCTCCGAAACCAAGGAGCCTCCTGAGGGAAGCATCTCACCAGATCATCGCCGGTGGATCAGCTGGTAAGTTCAGCTGCTATTGTAGTTTGTTGTCCGTGAGGAAAAAATTAATAAACTGTGATTACGCAAGTTTTTAAGAGCTTACACACGTTGACCGGAGTGTGAAAACAGCGTCCTCCTCCGCCTCCCCGCAAGCTCCGTGAGGAGAAAGCGCTGTCTGTAGTCTGTAGACGCGCATGCGCGGAGAGAGCGAAGGTTAAAAATTGAACCAAGATAGTTCGCTCTCTGTGTGTTTCACTTTCACAAACGAGAACATGAAGTTCGCGCACGCGCAGAACTTTTCCCGGTTCTTTTTTGTGAATATATATTACGTAATATATTACGTAAGAAATGAACGCCAGTAATGATTTTCAGATGTTAGGCCCCCAGGCATTTAAACATTTCTCAGATGTTTAGGGTATGTAGCAATACAACCCTTTAAAGCCAGTTTTAGCATAGTTTTAGACTAAAGTTACAGCATCACTTTTGAAAACAGCACATTGCTCTCACTTCCTAGCCTGTGTACAGTTGACTCCAGATTTAGTAACAGAAAACAGAGGACTATGACTAGGATCATGCAAAGTTTGAATTTGCTCTGACTGGTGTTGAACCTACGTTTTGCCATCATTATTCATTATCATCATTATTTTTGTAGAAAAGATAATGTGGGAGTGACCGCACATAAAATCATGGAGAGGAATGTGGTGTCCTCAAGGGTTCAGATGTGGATGTGAGATGACAAAAATGTTCGTTTCTCATTTAAAAGATTTGATTAGTACAAACTGTCAGTACAGTTACAGCTGTGGTGTTCAAGTGGAAGTCTTTTTTGGGAACGGTGTTATCATGTGCTCTCTGGCTGATCGGCTGAACCAGGTCTGTCATGGCTAACAATAGCTTTGGTGTCCATTCCTGCAGCAGCAGTTTTGATATGAGGTGACACTGATGGTCTGAACCGTTATGGTGATAAAAAGAAACTCGTTGTTGCAAGATTTGCATACAGCCATACTGAGAAAAAACTCACCAGACTGGAGTGTGAGCATCAGTGATAATACATTCCAGCTGATATGTTTCTTATACTAGACAGTCTTGTCTAAAACATACTTTTTTTGAGGCGTCAACAGCAGCAGTCTATTCTTTCTTTGAAATAATTACTACAAAATATTTTTTTTCTTATATGAAATATGCATACATAACCAGAAGTTTAGCAAAACATTGTAATTTTTTATATATATAAATATATGTGCATATGTTGAACCGGTATCTCAAATAACGTATGAACGTTTGACAAGGAAAGTGAAAACTACTACTTTTTAGTCAGTAAATTGACACTGGAATTCAATTTGTGGTGCGCTGACAAAACCTGGATTTGGTGGATATTTTTCGGTGACTTAGTTAACCATCTTTCAGGCTCACGTGACGTTATAATATCTTCTCCTGACTGGTGGGATTGTAATTTACTTTTTCACGTCGTTTCCTATCGAATTTGTCAACAGTTGAAATGTTAATGAGATGTGCAAATTGTTCTGGTTCTTGTTAGCATACTAGGCTAACAGGTCTTCGAACGCACCTGTTTCTTTTTCCCTTAAATAGGTATTAACGCACATGGAAGAAAGCCCTTAGGGTGTGTTTAGATTTTAAAGTATTTTAAATTACTTTGTACAAATACTTTTTTAAATCCCAAATGACTAAGACTTATACGGGATAGAAACAAATTCAGACTTTTTTAAAATCCCCATTGCACCGTATTAAAAACAGAGGACTAGCAGCTCTACAACAGCATATTTGTTGCTTGATATTCAACCAGAAACATATGTTCTTTTAATCAGTAATGATCTGCAACTATTTGTTTGTGTATTTATTTTTCTTTTTTCTGCAGAAATATCAGGTCATAAAGATAATGTTCATAAACAGGCATTCTAAACTGCTGCCCTGCTTTTTTTTAATATTTTGTGGAACTTTTTAAACGTTAAACAATAGCTTTACCTTATTAAATGGACATTTACCATTGATTCAAATATTTAACTTCCAATTTAAACCGCTGGCAAAAGGCCAGTCAGCAGGTCAGTGTTTTTACTGACAACTGACAATCATGTGTTTAGTTAAAAGTGAGCTGAGGAGACTTTGGTTTACATCAGAAGCTTTGTTGATGTCAGAACTGTTTGGTGTTAGAGTGTGATACTAAACAGTCATGTTTAGGCTGGATTCTTTTTTTCATGATGTTTGTATGTGTACATGATGGAGAGGTGCTTCATGTCATTTCTTACGGTCTGTTGTTCCTGACGTCAACATCAGCAGACGTCTCGAATCATTTCATTTAACGTCCCTGGTCTTTAGCAGTCATTCTAGAATACATGTTACAGCTGCAGTAGAAATACACTGAGTACTCAATGGCCTCTCTGTGCTGTCTTATCCCATCGATGCTAATGGATTTGACAGCCTGAAAATGTTTTTCAAAGTCAAATGTTTTCTCTGGACAGCGTGGCCAGTGTGTTACAGGTGATTTTCCTCTCGCTCCCAAAGTCCAATATTTACCTCCGTCTCTGGACAGTTTGCTCACTTTTTTGTGTATTTACTAATTCACATTGGCTCATGTGCAAACAAGTGTACATGCGAAAAGATAATGGTGGAAAAAAGTTGACATTTGTTAAATCTATTTGTCCAGATTTCAAAGATATCTCGATATCTTGATCTTCACTGCAGGTTACTCAAATTTACATTTTGTCCTTAATTTCCATTTAAATTTAGATTTTTGTTTTAGTTTAATCTGATTAATTATGTAAACAGAAAGAAGCCACACACACATGTTTTCAGACCACTTTTTAAAGTGTGCCTGGATCAGATGTATTATTATAAAGGCTGATACCTTACACTAAAGATCTCTACTCTTACTGTGCTCCAGGGTGTCACAAGCTTTATTTTATAATTAGGCAGATAAGCTAATTGTGGATAACTTGGTTATGGATGTTATGATGATTAAACACTTTCTGTCGATTTTATGGAACAGGTTGTTATTGATGCTATTTATAAAATTGTGTATTGAATTAAATGAAAGTTTACATACAGTATAATTTTAAGAGGGTTGAACGACATCCTCTTATTGTCAGTTTATGTTCTACTTTGATGTTTTTTACAGCCTGCAAGATGACACAGAATGTCTGTGTGAGACGTAGTTATAAAAATAAATGACCATTTATTGTCTCTGCTTTATTTTCTTTGTAATAGTGAACAGACTTGGCTAAATCTTCAAGTCTAATTTGGGCCACATGAACATCACCAACACATGTAAAAAATCACCCATTTGACGAATCGGAACATTTTATGGAAGTTTTCTGCAGTGCAGTTGTATTGTATGTGATTTTGAAGGTTTCGCTTGGAGTTTGTTCCAGTTTTGTCCACAAGATGGTAGTATTACCCTGCTGTATTGCTACGTTATTGCCTTCTAAGGTAAAGGGACGTTGCCGCTTTTTTAGTTTGCGGTATTTTTTTCTAATAACTTTTTGAGACTTTGAGATTATGATGAAGCGTTAGGTAAACTTTAAAGTAGGGCCATAATAAGTATTGGTGTGATGCTAACAAAATAATACAGACTGTAGAAGCTTCATATTATTCAAAATGTCCTTTTGATTGAGTACATTTGATTAAATAAAAATAAATCCTGGTAACTGGTCATGTTTTCTCGTACTCCTCTGTTTCTTCTTGGTAGATGTATTTTTGTTCTAAAAAGTCCAGGAGTAAATCGATCTGTCTCCAGCAAATGGACTGTAACGACATGAGACAGACGCCCTCCGTGTGATTACCACGGCTCTCCCTCCGGACTGTCAGGGCCTCGATCACATCTAATTGGTTTGAAACAGGGAAGCTGAAATCAGCGGCTAAAGAACAAATAAAGCCACTTAGTCTAAATGAAGGGGAGGAAGAAAGAAGGAGAGGGGAAATTAAATAAATACTGTGTGTGGTAGCATGTTTAGGCAGGGCAGGTTATCCAGTGACAAAGGCTGTATTTTAGTTGGTTTTTTTTTCTTACAATTTCCCTAGTGGCTGTACCAATCACTGCCGAATTAGGCCTAATATTTATTTCCAGAAACAATTGTACATGTTGGAGCGGGGCTTTGATTGAACTCCCGGCGGACATGTTGTAGACAGATGTTTAGATGACCTCATGTTTGAAGTAATGTTGATTCTGGATGGTTTGCTTAGTTGGCCTGTTCCTCTAAATCAGCCCCACAGCTTGTTTTTTTTTTTTTTTTTCAAATTTGCTCTTGTTGTAGGAGGGCATTCAGAGGCTCACGTCTCTCACTTTTTTTTAATGTTCTTTGGCTCACAGTAAATAGTAGCCATTTACATCTTCTGTTCCATCCTTGACAGACACACGTCCGAGAGTACAGGGGTCGTGGCTGGCTTGGTTAAAATGAGCCATGATGGTGCTGACGGAGAAATCCTCAACAGGACACATCTGTCTTTACTCCTCAGGGCTCAGCTTTAACCAGGATTTAGAGTTGATGCTTTTTTTACAATGCAACTTACATCCTTGTGTCATTAGAATTAGGACGCTTATATACGAATATATAGAATATATGTGTACATATAGGTATGTGTGCATATATATGTATACATATAATATATGTGTACATATAGGTATGTGTGTATATACATTACCACCTTGTATTGGATAAATGAATACCCCTGGACAGCTTAATGTAACGTAACCAACCGTATGTGGATAATTACAACAAACAAACCGTTGCTTAGAACAAACAAGCAATTCATAATGTCCTTCAAAAGCACCAGTCATAAGAAACCAGAGGGCAAACCAAACAGGACTTACGAGTAGTGAGAATGCAACTGGAAAATATGCAGTGAAATTATTGTGGCTGTCCAAATGTATGGGTAAACCACTAAACTCTGTGAATTTAATCAGGTTAAAATTCTTCACGCATTTTACTGCATGGGCAGAATGATGCAGTTAAGTTGCTTAGGGTCATTTAAACCTTTTTGTTTCACCAAATCACCTTGAGCTTCAAATA